AATAAAAAATGGTTAGTATACCGATTCTTTAACAAAAAAATAAAATTTCAAAAATACTTTATCTGGAATATCAGCATTTATGTTGGAGTATTTCCTATATAAAAAAATAAGAAAAAAATGGTTATTTATTAAAAAATGTTTTTAAAGAAATTTTGAAATATTTGTTTTGAAATTTACCTGAAATATTAACGTTCAAGTTGGAGCTGAATTCTTACAAAAAAAGATGTTTTTATTAAAAAAACATTTTTAAAAAAGTTTTGAAACATTTGTTTCAAAACTTACCTGGAATATCAGTGTTCACATTAGAGCTGAATTCCTATATAAAAAAATTAAAAAAAACATTTTTTTTATTAAAAAACATTTTTAAAGAAATTTTGAAACATTTATTTCAATTGGCATCCATGTTGAAGTTAAATTCCTATATAAAAAAAGAAAAAAAATTTTTTATTAAAAAAAACATTTTTAAAAAAGTTTTAAAACATTTATTTCAAAACTTATCTGAAATATTAGTGTTCATATTGGAGTTGATTTCTTATATAAAAAAGTAAAAAAAAAAAGGTTTTTTAATGTTAAAAACGGTTTATTAAAAAAAGTTTCAAAAATCTTTCAAAACTTACCTGAAATATCAGTATTTACACTAGAACTGATTTCTTAAATAAAAATAATAGAAAAAAACATTTTTTTATTAAAAACATTTTATTAAAAAAATTTTGAAACTTTAGTTTCAAAACTTTAGTTAGAAAAATGGTATCTATGCCAGAATTGATTTCCTAAATAAAAATAATAAAAAAAAACATTTTTTATTAAAAATATTTTATTAAAGAAGTTTTAAAACTTTAATTTCAAAACTTTATCTCGAATATGGTATTTACACTGGAACTGAATTTCTATATAAAAAATAATAAAAAAATGTTTTTTATTAAAAATGTTTATTAAAGAAAGTTTCAAAAATTTTTTTAAAACTTTACCTAGAAAAAAGTATTCACGCTGTAATCATAGAAGTTTAGGGTAATTACGTAATATAAAGGAATAATATATCAAATGAAAGATAATTGGATAAATAATTAGCTGAAAAGATAAATATTTGGAAAATGGAATGATCTACATAATGTAATATTTATTGAATGATTAATAAAGATCAGATAAATTAATTAAAGAGTTGATCAATTATAATATAATAACCAGTTTATTAAGCTTATCAATAAGAATAAATTCTGATATAATAACCAGTTTATCAAGTTTATTAATAGGAATAATTAGAAGGAATAATTATTAGTCATAAAAGATAGATTCATTTGGAATATTTTCTTCATAATAGTTTGCAAGATTATTTTTTGAAAAGATTATTTCTTTATGATAGAATATTTCTTTATGATGTAATATTTGAAAGATTATTTTCTTTTAAAGAATATTTTTAGGATGCATTAATTTTAGGGTAATGACAAACGACTATAAAAAGAGGTGGAATTCGATAAGGATTTTGTAGTTCAAAATAACTCAAGATAACTTTAAATTAATAAAATATTTATTTTAATACATCTCTTAATTATTTTGACTCTTTTATACTATTTTCTTATGATAAAAAAGTACATTTTTATTTGATATACATGAAACGCCTGCATGTAAGGATGCAATTAGTTAGAAAGTATATTACTATAATTGATGTATAATTTTATAAATATAAATTATAAGATGAATTAAATATATACTTTCATAATAAGAACTATTGAAGTTTAAAAGTTGAAATATGAATAAAACTTTGTAACAAGAGCTATCACAGTTTGGAAGTTAAGCACAAAATATAAATTTAAACCAAACACGAATATATTAATGTTTCGTTGAAAACAAAGATAATAGAGTGGATACCTTTGTTTATCGACAGATAGCAGACGTTGGTGATAATGCCAGAACTAATTTTCTATTAAAATAAATAAAATAAAATATTTTTTAATTAAAAAATATTTTTTTTTAAAATAGTTTTAAAAATCTTTTGAAACTTTACTTAAGGAAATAGTATTTATACTGAAACCATTTTCTGCAAAAAATATAAAAAAAAAATGTTTTTAGCTAAAAACATTTTTTTTTAAAGAAAGTTTCAAAACTCTTTCGAAACTTATTTTCTTTATAAAAAGTATTAAAAAAAAATGTTTTATACATAAAAAATATTTTTTTAAAGAAAGTTTTGAAACTTTTTTGATTTAATAAAAAATTACTGAATTTAATGTGTATATTTTTACAGATAAAAGAGAAAGAGAAAAAGAAACAAAAAATTTAAAGTTTAAAAAAGTTTGTTTTAAAAAGACCTGTAAAATGTTAATTTGGATTATTTGATGATTTCAGTTATTTACCAACTGATTTGCTGAATTATTGCCAATTAGTTATTGATTTTTACTGTTTGGCAAATTTGGCAAAATTGTGTTGATTTATATAACCAATCAGTATAATTTTACTAAATGATCTTAAAGGAACAATTTTTTGTATAACAATCAGTATAAGTTGATTTTTTACCAAAAGACTGAACAAGTTTTCATTTAACAATTAATATTAATTGATTTGTGATTGATTTTGCCAATTTTTGCCATTGGTCAAAAAATGTAATGAATCATATGACTAAGGTTGCTTGCTAAAATCTAGGGGTTTAGGCAAGATGGCATTTCACCGAAAAGCGAAATTCTGCCAAAACTATATTAAAGTTATATTAAAAACTGGCGAAACTTTGGAGAAAGGTGAAACTGCAAAAACTTATTATAAATGCTAAAACTACTAAAACTCTGCTGAAACTATAATAAATCTATAGTAAAATTTTGACAAAACTAATCATAGGATTTTGAAGATGTTTAGACAAGCAACCTTACATATGACCAATCAGCAAAAATTATGCTAAAAGTTCTTATCAGTCAAAAGTTTTGATTTTGATCAATGCAAAAATGATCACACTTGTGCAGTTGTGCTACATGATTATATGACAGATATCATCAAAAAATTACTTCAACAAAAAGTAGCATTAAAAATTTTTTCTTTCATAAATTCCCTATTAAACTTCCTATCAACTTCCCTATCAACTTTTCAACCAGTTTTTATATCAAGTGTATTGAGAATTTTTGCAAGTATATTAGTAATTATTTTATATTAGATACAACTTGAAGCTGTTTTTTTATTTTATTTTTTTATAATTTATAGAAAAATTTATTTAGAAAGCAAAAAAAATCTTTCAATAAATAAATAACTCTAAATATTAATAATAATGTTTTAGCAAATTTAAATTATGTATTGATTAGTTGTTTAATTAAAATCTATTTGATATTTATTATTAATTATTTTAGTTAATTTTTTTTCATTAAATTATTAAATATTCTTAATTTTGTAAAGTTTTTTTTTCTTTTTTTTTTTAATAAACTAACTTTATAATATTTTTTTCCATTTTTTTCTAGAAACTTCTTATACTAGTTTCAGATTAAAGAGGTAAATATTTTGGAAGAGGTCTTAAAAGTTTTTTTATATATATTTTGACATTGACTTTTTTCTTATGTAGGAACAGGTTTTAATTGATTTTAATTAGTACTATATCACATAACTGATAATTGGAAAATTCTGTAAATCAGCAAATATGAATATTGCAATAAATATAATAAATACAATTTATACAAATTTTGAAATAAAATCATTAACCTATTAGTAGAGCTTGTACTTAAATTAAGATGAGTTAATTTAAGTAAAATGAGTCAAGAATTTTTTTGATTCAAAAAATACTTGAGTCTAGGATTTGAATTAGGACTTGAGTTAACGTGAGTTAATTTGAATCAAAGTTAAAGTGCAGGTCAAAAAACTTATCCATAATTTTACCTAAACTGTTATAGTCATAATGCTGGCAAAAATTACAAATACGTGATTCCAGTTGACTCAAGTTAAGAATAGAGTGAAATTACGTAATCATTAATTAGTAGATCCATATCAAAAAATTTTTTTTTTTATTGTGATTTTTATACAAGTCTACCTTTTCTAAAAAATGTCAAAGCAACTTGAAAACTGTAGTTAACAGCTTCTGAGAACTCCAACTTTCAACTTGTGGTAAAAAAAAGTTATATTATTTAGTAAAGTTTTCGTTAAAATAGCAAAAAAATGACTTTACTTTTTTTTCATGAATGCAATTTTTTCTTATGAACAAAACCATACTAAGAAAAACTGCAAAACATTACATAAATAACTTAAAAAAAATAGTTTACTTATATATCATTATATATAAGTAAAAGATTTTCATATATTAATAAAATAATGATTTTATTATATTAGATAATGTCTTTTAAAGAGGGATCGACTACATTTCTCACCTGCCAATCACTTGGCCATTTTTTCAGCGGAAGTTGTTGAAGGAAAAACTTTGGTTTTTCTCACTCAAGTGGTTGTAAAGTACTTTTATTATTTGATTTAAACTTCTCAGTTATTCTTTCAAGGCTCAAACGGGCCTTTAACTCAAAGTTTTGGTGGAGTTACAAAACTATGGAGTGGTTCTCACCAAAAGTAATTTTACTTCTATGAAGCTTTTCTTCTACCGGATTCCTGAAAGTTGTAATAGTTACACATTGGGCGGCTGGGCTTTGAACTCTGCACTAGTGTGAAGTTTCCCCGTTGGTTTCTTTACTTTTGGAAGTGTTGAGAAAGTTTTTCCTATGGAGTATTAATTGCCACTTGGAAAGTGGGCTTCTTCTTGTTATTAGTTGTTGTTTAAGGGGTTTGAAGTGGTAGACGGAGGCTTGATGTTTATTACCCTTTTTACTCAGTTTTTCCCTTAGGGGTTTTCTGAGATTATGACTTTTCTTTTTGTTTTTTAGTTTTTTCATTTTCCTGGAATTTCAGTGTTTTTACTCTTAGTTTTCTTTTAGGGGAACTGAAAAACTGGAATGTTGATCATCTGGGATGGAGGTTTGGTGTTACTTAACTTTTTTGGATTTATGTAGATCGGTCTATTTAAGAGGGCTAATGGGATTGGTGGATTTTAATTTTTAATTTTTACTAATCAAGTTGATCAGCAGTTGATCTATCAAAAGTACTAATATTAGATTGCTTACAATGTCATTGGCTGGATCTGATGTATCCACTTGGATTTAGTAAAATACTGTAGCATTGGGAAGTGCATCTCTTACCGCTGTGAACTTTCATTCCATTTCATGCTTTTTCTATATGAGGACTTCGTAGGGATTATGAAGGAGTTTAGCTTTTGTTTTTGTTTGTTTTTAATATTAATACAATGGTAATATGGATTCCTGGAGATATTTGATGGTTGCATCCTCATGGGTGGGTATCATAGCTAGTTTAGAAAATAGTTTTCATTGTCGTTAACTAATTTTAATGTAAGCATATATAAACCATCAAATTAAAATAAAAAAAAAAGATAATGTCTTTTAAATGGTACACAGCACTTGTTACTTTACAGAAACTTACCATTTTTAATCAATATAGAATCGATATCGTTAAGTTTATCTTAACGGTATCATTTTGATATCATTTTAATATCATTTCAATATCGATTTAATATCGATACGATATCGAAATGATAATTAAAATGATATCGAAATGATATCTTTAAATTAAACTTAAAGATGTTGTTTCGATATTATTTCTATTATCATTTCGATATCATTTCGATATCGATTTAATATCGAAATGATATCGAAATGATAATACTTTATTTCGATATCGTATCGATATTAAATCGATATTGAAATGATATCAAAATGATATCAAAATGATATCACTTGAAAACTTAAAGTTTCTGTAAAGTATACAAGATTCTAACAATCAAAAAGCTTTTAAACGAACAAATAGCAGTTGGATAGTAGTTGATTATTCTTGTGGCCTTTGTGTTTTAGATTTACATAATAAATTAAAAGCATTTGATTTTACATCTGAAGTAACAAAAAATATCTCTATTGCTGAAGAAAAAAATTATAATGCTGGTTACCTATTTCTTCGCAATCAAGAGGAAGTGGATCATTCATTAATACCATTATTACCTGGATATATTGTTTTTACGTCTGCAGGTAAAAAAGAAAGTTTAATTTTTCTTTTATGTAAATTGCCATTAACAATATTATGTTTAATGCTTACAGGTAAAAAACGATTCAAGTTGTCAATTTTAGAAAGTAATAATCAATTACTTTTTTATTGGAAGGAATTTGGTTCTGATACGTCATATGTTAATAGAAAGGCACAAGGCTTTGAACAAGTTGCATTTTATTATATGTTAAAGAAATATGGATTTGTTACTACTAATTCTATTCAATATGTTCTTGGTCTTAATATTCCAGAGATAATTAATGAGTTAAAACAACTTGTTTATGAAAAATTTGTGATTATTTCTCAAGTACAAGAACCGGAAAATTCAAAGTTAATTAAGGCCAAAAAAAAGGAAGAAACATTACGCCGTAGTTTAAAAAGATATCAGGAAAAAATTGATGAAATAATTTATGAAAATAACAAAAATAGGAAAAATATTATACTTTATGGAATTCAAATTGAATCTGACAGAAAAAGGTTATCCCCAAAAAAAGCACAAGTTTTAATGTTAAATAATATGGAGAATAAAAAAACAATTTATTCTCAAAACAGAACTATTAAAACACTAAAAGAAAAAGTTTCTTTAAAAAAATAAAACAGATACTAGTGTATTTACAAATAATAAAAAGGAAATTCAGAAACTGGTAGAAAATGAAATTAATGAAAAAAAACTTGGATCAACTATTTTTATGAGTATTTCACATTATCTTTCCATTCTTCTTTCGTTACCTTGTTCTGATTGTCATGATATTATAGTATCTAATCGAACATTTTATACTACAGTAGTAGGGTTCAATTTAACATGTATTATTAAATGTCTTCTTTGCAAAACATCAATGCAATATTCAAATGAAGATTCAGACATAAAATATTCTCATTTAATTGCAGGAGCAACACTTACTGGTAGGATGAATAGAAATTCCTTTCAAACTGCATTAGCGACAATTGAAGTAACAAACCAATGTAGTAAACGATCTTACCATAATTATCAGAATCACATGTATAAACCCATTATTGAAAGCGCAAAACAAAGTAGTAAAACTATTTTACTTGAAATTCTTGATCATTTGAAAGAAATTTATTTACTAAAACAAGAAAAAGTATTGCCTATAGGTTTTGATTGCTCATGGTCATATTCTCGCAATGCACATCAAGCTAGTGTATTTAGGAAATATTCCTGATATGTAGAACTAGCGACATGATTCATAAGTCAAACAAACTAACTAAATCCAAATCTACTTTTAGGTTATAATTATCAGCCTGTAATTGCATTCCACACAATAGAAAATTCTCGTTCAGTAAAATATGATGATTCTTCAAAAATTGTGCATAAAGAAAATTTTAATGGAACTTCTAGGCAAATGGAGCATGCGATCTTATTTGCATTATTAAATGACATAATGCCAATTTTAAAGGAAACTGATTTTACTCTACATATATGTGTAGATGGTAATCTTGAGACTAACAAAACCCTGGCATGTATTCTTGCAGTAAGCCGTATATTTGCTGATCTAAAGCATGTTAGCAAAAATATTCAAAAAAATCTAAGTAAGCAACAATTCTCTTACATAATTTTAACTTACTTTCGTTACTAATATTTTATAAAATATTGATAGTGAAAAAACAACATTCACGATGGCATTCCTTTGAATAACACATAATGAGGTACTTCAACTCCTGTATGTTTAGTGCTGGTCTCCAAAAAAAAAAACAATTAAGATGATGCACCAACTGAAGAGGAAACAAGATATGTACAAGTAGAAGGTTTAATTAGGCATTTACTTGATGATCATAGTATATATTGGAGTGATGTTTGCTAGTTGAAAGATAATCCAGAATTACAGTTACAAGGCCCAACTCTAAAAAATTATACTCAAGCTGAAATAGATAATTTTAGAAATGTTATTACAACAATTTTTCGCATACCAGTTGGCCAAGGTATTGTAACTACATTTCGTACCTCTCATAATGAAACATTTAACAAAAAAATTCTGAAATATTTGAATAAGCGAATTGATTATTGGGCTTCATACAGTGCTCAGCATGTATTAGCTGTGATTGATCAAAATGATGGATTAGATGCAATGATATCAAAAGTCCGTGTAGTAGCTACTGGAGTGGATTTTTCATATTCTGATATATGCAATATATTAAAATTTGTTCAGGAAAGATCTCGACAGGTTATTAAAAATCGTAGTGCAATTCAACAAAAAAATGAAGCGAGAAAAGAACAGTATGTAAGTGAAAGAAAAGAACTTGCTGGCTTTGATTTTGATAAAGTAATTGTTTATTTAATTTGTAAGATTTGTTAGATTTGTTAATAAATAAATAATTTTATTATAGGAATTGGTATCTTATAAAAGTAAAGTATCTGAACAAATACATGAAAATATCTTTTGGCCATCGTTTGGTGAACTTTTGACAGATTTTGATGTAATTGTAAAGTGCGTTGCATGTCACGCCTTTGCAAAAAAAAGTTCACGTGGTTTGTGTAGTATTTGCTTATTTTATATAGATGCAGGCTTGTAAGAGCAAATTGCTAATAATAAATATATACCTAAAGGATAACAACCAGAAGAACCCAAAAAAGAAACACTTATCTTACTTGCTGCAACAAAAATTTTTGGTTTTGAGAAGTTTCGAAGTGGACAATTAGAAGCAATTAATGCTATTTGAATGGTAATAATACATTTGTATCTATGAAAACTGGTGGCGGAAAAACTTTGTGCTATGTTTTATCATATACATGCCACCCAAATTATTTTGGACTGCCGTAATTATAAGTAAAATCCCAAATTCAATTATAGCATCCCAAATTATTTTGGTACTTTACATAGTAAATTATATATAAACTGAATGAATTATGGCATTCCAAATTATAATTATGGCATTCCAAAATAATTTGGGCAGCATGTATACTTTATCAGCTGTTTGTTCTGAAGGTCTTACTATTGTCTTTAGTCCTCTTAAAGTACTTATAGAGGATCAAAAGGTTACTATAGTTATCTTTATTTTAATGCAATATCTTTTGTACTTATTTTTTTTTTCTTAATAGCAAGAACTTGTAAAAGCTGGTATTTCCTGTGCAGTATTATATGCAAATTTAACACAAGGAACACGTATTCAAGAAAAAATCTTTGAGGAAATAGCATCTGGATTGATAAAAGTGCTATTTGTTACGCCTGAAAAATTGGTATTCAATGAAGGGTTTTGCAGGTTTATTACACAGCTTTACGAAAAAAAAAAAATTCGCTTTGTAATTGACGAAGCACACTGCATTATAGCATTTCAGGATTTTAGGTATAAAATAATATTTATTATTCTTTAGTATTATAAATAACTATTTTTACCTTTTAAAAAAACTTGGACGCAACTTGGAATGTTGAAACAATGATGGAAATCTGTACCAATTATGCTACTTACAGCAATATGTACTTGATCAAAAGTAGATGAAATTCTTGCAAATTTGACTATTGAAAAAAACAAATTTACTTTAATTCGTAATTCAACAAGTCATCGATCAGAAATAATTTTTAATGTACAAGAGCGAAAAGAAATTTATGATCAATATATTACCAACATTATAGACATAATAAACAGAAATTTGCATGGCTGATGAACTATTATATATTGTGCAACACGTTTCAATTGTGAACGCTTATATAATAAATTACAGAAAAGTTTGACTGGTATTTCAATAAATTATTTTCATGGTGGTTTACATGATAATGAAAGAGAAACAGTAATGAATAACTGGAAATTTAATCACACACAAATAATAGTTGCGACATCCGCATTTAGAATGGGAATTAATTTAAATAATATACTTGTAGTTATTTATGCAGAAGTACCAATAAGTATAAGTAAATAGAGATTGTTAACTTTACCTTATTTTTATTAATTATAATTCTAATTTATATATATATCTTATAGCAAATCTTATTCAAGAAGCTGAACGTGCAGGGCGTGATGGAAATACTGCAACACATGTGATATTTTTTAGCAAAAAAGACATACACACAAATTATTCAATAATAGCAGAATATCGAGAAACGTAATAATTCTCTATACCTTTTCATCCTTTTTGCTTTATTATCTGCTAAATTCTTTTTTTTTGGTAGAGAATCTATTATAGATATTTCAACAAACACACGTCAAATGACCAAAAACAGGCAAAAAAAATGGCTAGAATTGCATAAACTATTCGCAAATTTATATAAACTATTTACAAATAGTATAGGTTGATTTGCAAATAGCCAAAAACAGCCAAAAATAGCCAAAAATAGCCAAAAATAGCCACTGCTTTTCGTGCCATTTTTTTTGCCGATTTTTAGCATTTCGATCTGTGAAATGAACAGAATCTAACTAATAAACTTAAACGGGCTGCAAATAAAATTTTTGAAGTCTTCTACTACTGCATTTCACAGTATGAATGCCGTCAACAGCTAATTTGGCAGTATTAAGCATGGCCAGACGAAAATAAACTATCTGTATGTAATAAATGTGATAATTGTATTAAGAGAATTGCCAATAAACCAAAATTACTTGATGGCAAGAAAGAAATAATGAAATTATTGGAAGTGGTAGAGTTTCTTTTGTAAGAAGAACAAGTTAGTCAAGATGATGTGATTGACGTTTTTAGAGGTGGAAAAACAGCAAGAGTAAAACAGAAAAAATGGGATACATTACCTATCTACCCAACCAAAAAAAGGAAGGTGTTAAAAACTAAAAAATTAGTTCAATTTGCATTAGCAGATTTAGTTGTACGTAGTTTAGTTCCAGAAAAAATAATTTTGTGAAAACTATTTGAAGGTGGTACAAGTTATCTAGTAGTATTGTAATAGCTGGTGTCATACAAGAAGCACAAGCAAATGCTAATATGCAAACCTGGAATTATTTTGTCAAATAAATTTATATAATGTATAATTTCTTAATGTTTCTAATTTTAATTTCTGGCAAAATTACAGCTATTACACAAAGATCAGTTATTACTATTACACCAAAAAAAATTTACACATGAAATAATATACGTGTTTACTTTACCCTTAAAAAATTTTTAACTCAAATTCAATTTGAGTCAACTTGAGTTATATAAGTGTTGAATTTAAGCTCTACCTATCAGTATATAATATATAATTATAATGATCATACCAATATCATATAAGTATTATTAGGTATATGAATACTGATATGAGTATAATATCTATACAATATTTTTATGATATTTTATAAACTGATATGTAACTTATATGTAACTTATATGTAACTATCTGCTTTATTTATAAGTATCATATCAGAATTACTAATTTGAAAATACAGTCAACTCCCTCTATAATTACTCCTGTTATAGTTACATTCTACTATATAGCCACACCTAAGGTTGCTTGCCAAAACCTGTTTGGCCTAATGCCGAAAGGTGAAACCTCTTATATAGTGCCGAAATGCCAAAACGCTAAAACTGCGAAATCTGTCAAAATTGCGAAACTGCTGAAATATGCCGAAACCTCTATAATAGGTTTTTCCGGTTTTAGCATAGTTGATCATAAGATTTGCATATAGTTACGCCAAGTTACACCAATTAATAATATAATTTTGATGATCAAATAATCTACAGATAAAAGATTAAACTTCAATATTTTACCGTTGTCTTAGTTCTTTTAAGCTTTATCAAGTGTTAGAATTTTCATTTCTAACTCCCATATTAATATTATGATATTACACGTTTTTGCAGGTTTTTTAAGGGGCTTATATTTGTTAAAAAAAAATGCGTAACATGCATTTAATAAACCCAATTCCGTCATCTCCTTTAACACTGAACTAAAGTTTCTTTTACTTTCTTCCGTTTTCTTAATAATAAAATTAATAATAAACTGTTTCAAATGACTGATCACATAGAAGATTCACCCATTAAAAAAAAAATAGAGGAGGTCAGCCACCTAATAGCATTTGGGAAGATATTAATAAAGGAGAAGCTGTTAGTTCTGGCAAATTTGCTGCCTCCTGCAAGTACTGTAAGAATACATAGTCACGCAGTGAAGTTTCAAAGCTTGAAAAGCATCTTTCAAACCATTGTCCAGATGTGCCAGCAGCAGTTGTTAGAAGGTATATGACTAAAGTAATGGAACGGCAAGATAAGTCCAAGTCATCCAAAAAAAGAAAATACTATGAAGGTCAAAGTAACATGGATGATTACCATGATTCAACAGAGCTTAACGAACAAAGATGTACACGAATTAATCGTGCATTAGTTAAATTTTTTATTGCGTGCAGAATTGCGTTTAGAATAGTGAAACATTCTCTTTTCATCAATTTTATAAAAGAGCTTAATGCCGGGTACAATACACCAACAAGGGAAGTATTAGTAAATCAACTACTTGAAAGTGAATTAGCTCAAGTGAACTTCAAAGTTAATTCTGAGCTTGAAAAGGAAACGAATTTAACGTTATGTTTGTTAAATTAAATAGGCTATCATACATGATTTTTTATTTAATCTTACTTACTATATAATATTAATTTATAATTTAGCCTTTGATGGTTGGACGTCTGGTACACATCGTTCAATTTGGAACTTCATTGTAATGACTCCGTCGCGTAAAGAATATCTTTATTAACTTTCTGATTTGTCTGAAAATTCGCACACTGCAGAATATTTAGTTACGATAATTGAAAAGGTTATAGAAAGTATTGAAGAAGATCGAATATATGCTGTAATTTTCGATAATGCAGCCAATGTTCGTAATGCACAAAAAATTATACATGAGAATCATCCAAAGATTGAGAATGTGCGATGCGTTGCACATTCTATCAATTTAATTGCATGTGACATCGTCAAGGAAAAGTTTGGGGAACGTTTATTAAAACGTGTCAATATTTTGACAATCTTTTTTAGAAGTTCTCATCAGGCTAATGCAAAACTTGCTCAAATAATTAAAGAAAAAGGAATTAGTGAAGGAGGATTAAAATTATATTGCAAGACATGCTGGACTACTGCTAGTGAATCCATAAATTCAGTAATAAATTTAAAATCAGTACTAGAAGAAATGGCTAGCGATCACGATAAAGTGCTAACAAATGACAAAATAAAACCGATTATTCAATCGAGAATTTTTTTTTCAAATTTACGAGTTCTTGGATTTGTTCTGGATCCTCTAAGAAAAGCGGTACTTTCATTAGAATTGAGAAGAACTACACTTGCAGATTGTTTCCTGAGCTTGGCAAGACGTTGGGGTGTGCGATATCGGCCTAATCACAAACATAGTGAAACCACTATATTGTAGGCCCTTATTGAGGAATTTTTTTGTCGATCATTTTGACGATCATTAAATTGAAAGAAGTTTACTAAGTTTTGAATTATTTTAAATGATTTGCAACATTTAAATAGTATCAATAGGCTATAGTACATTATTTTGAGTATCTTTGAGAAAGTTTCAGCTAAAAATTCACTCTGCATTATGCAT